AGGTTAAATTATCGTTTGGTTTACCACAATGGACATTTTTATTATTATGTTTGTTAACAAAAATATAAACAAACTGAAGAAAATGGAAGAACATTGATGTCAAACGAATATGCATCCTCATTCTTCCGGAATTTTCTTTTGTGAAATTTACGTCTTTTAGTTTCAAACTATGTGTTGTGGTCTTTTATGTATTGCGTCTGAAGCATCTCGTTTCAATGACAAGCAGTAATCAGCCATCATGCTGATGTTCCACCTTCCCTGATACCTCCTCATTTCCCTGATGTCTTGATGAAATATTTTCCCTTGTTATTCGCTGACGTCACCGCGATTTTCAGGGATATAGTCAATATGTGAGTGTAAGAAATGAACTTTCAAGCTCATATTACAAACCAACCATTATTAGTCTCAAAGTGGGTTCCTCGTCATCGAATTTGAACCCAACTCTTTAAATCTAACAAGCATGTTATTGACAATATTTTCATAATTTGGGTTCTTGTTTCCAACCACGTTCTTTGTATTTGACCTCATTAAGAAGTTCGAGTTTTTCGTATGTTTCCTTCAAGTGAACTGAATGAGTAATAGGAACAGGTGCATATATGTTACCATTGTAAAGAGGAATCCATAAACAATCGCTACCCACTTGGTTCATAGGCTGCAGCTCCTAGCATTGGTATTAATTCAGCAATATTGTTGCAATAAACCAGCGAAGATTCTTGCGAAAAGTATGGTATAAACTCTTTCTCACGACTTCTGTACCAGTAAAATGATGTTGATGGAGAAAGTAAGTTCTTAGCCCGAAGTCTGGACCCCAAAATCTCTTAAGAATTCTTTGGAAGGCCCGAATCTCTCACCAAATCATTAAATTCACCTTGTGTGAAAAGTTGTGGTTCACCAGATGTTTCAGAGTGAGAACAGTCCCTATCATCAGTCCTATTGACGTCAGATTCAGAATCAGATGAAACTGTATCAAGAGTCTCTGGTGGAGTAGATACAGGTATATCAGGTCCATGAGCAACAGGTATTATAGCAGATTGAAGGTTCAGGTAAGAAATTTCCTTCTTATTTTGAGTGTTGTAGCATTACACGTTACATGAGTAAAAATAACAGTCATCTCCATGGTTTCTACGCTCACGCCAGAACATTGGAGTTCTAAAAGGCAAAGACGTTTTCTTAACTTTAGTCCATTGTCTCAACCTTTCGACACAAATGATGCAAACTTTGTGCGGAGCCCATGATTTGTCTTGGTCCCCAAGTTTTGTTTTTGTTTTCAAAATACGTTTTTTAACGAATTCTGTAATGTTTTGCCTTTATTTCGTTGCAATACATTTACCA